TKKTKSMAAAAAAAAAGAAATTAAATAGAAATTTTATATTTATTATAGGTATTCATTACCAGAATAAAAAGTAATTAAAACAAACAATTGAGGAGAAAACCTTGTTAATCCAACTGAAGGCCAGAAAGATAAGGAAAAAAATGAAGTATGCCAACAAGAGAAGTGATTGTGGATGGTAGATGGGAGCTCTTGAAGAGGGTGGGAATTGATATCAGCAAGCCCTGAAAATCCTATGTAAACATTCCTTGAATTATGCCAATTTGTTATTATCATTTTCACATCCCAACTAATGAACTCAAATTTTTGTAAGTTGTACTTTTTTGATTATTGTTTTTCATGAAACACTCCTTCACTTATACAGTATTATCAAAAGCAAAAGATTCATTTTTAAATGGTGTAAAAGGTAGGGAGAAACAACCTCACAGCAACAAGGAACAAAATACAAACTTCATTTTTAAATGAAGAGCTATTGAAAACCCAAACCACAAAATACATGGGAGAGCTTCCAAATGTGTGGATGTGGGAGGAGGCAGAGAAGATATCCATGGAGACAAACCTCAAAAAAAAAAAAAAAAAAAAGCAAAGTCCTTTTATCTAGGGTTGGGGCTACATCCTTAGGTTCTAACTCAAACTTCTGTATTTTCAGTAATGAGCCTTGCTGACCAGGATCAGGAACCTCCCTGAATGTGCTATATTTTTTAAGCAGGAAGATTGCCAATGTGAGAAATCAGACAAGTCATATTTGCAGAAATATGTCTGTCGATAAGGGTGAGGGAAGAGACCCTGAATGAAAGTGGTAAACACTAGAGCAGGTTATGCTCTGTCCTGCTTCATAATAAAATATTTCTAGCAAAAATTTTACAAGAAATATTTAAGAAAACAGTTGAGAAACCCACAAAATATTTAAAGACACCTCTAAAATCAGCCCCCCTCAACCTATGAATTTAATACTATCCAAATAAAAATGCCAGCAGAAGGGTCTTTTGCAGAGAGGTGAAGGAAGTGGAAACAGAGCAAGTATTACAGAAGTTTACTTCAAAGTTCATACATAAAAATCAGCAAGAACAGTCAGAAGATCTTGGGGAAGAGACATTGTAAATAGAAACTGGCCCCTAATTGTTAAACATATTTTAAAGGGACAATTAGTGTTTATGATAGTGAAATTCTAGAAACTTCTAATAATGAGGTATTATACTGGATTTCTAAAGGAAACATTTTATGTATCATATAGATAATATGAAACATTTTTTAGAAGAAAAAATCCATGAAAAAGCTCGTACCTTTGTCATTTTTGTGTGGGACAAAAATAAAGAAGCAGAAGAGTGTGTATGTATAATGCACTTCCATTTATGTAAAATGAGGGCAATGTGATTACTGAATTTGCAAAAAGAAATTGCTTGCATAGGATATTTCTGAAGCACTCAAAAGAAACTGATAATATTGGTTGCTTCTAGGGGAGGAAAATGATTATTTGGGAATGTAGAGTTTTKTTTTTTTTTTTACTGTTACTTCCTTTGATTTTTTAAGATTTGGTACAATGTGAAAATAAGTCAATACAAAAACATCTTATGTTTAACTTTTGGGAATATATCTCATTTCAAGTATTAAACTTTACTCATCTGGTCAATTATATTGAATCAGGGAAACATGTTTGGAATGGTTTATGGTGCTCTGCGTTCCTATAGCAACTCTATCAGATGTTCTCCTCAAGGAAGATAGGAAAATTCTCTAACTAGACCACTACGCAGAGCTATTTGGGAGGGTGGCAAGGCGACCCTGTTTTTCTGTTGCTGGAATGAAAAAATAAATAAAGACAAGCCAGAATGATCTGTAAGCACATTTTCTCCCCTGGTGGTCCCATTACTACAGTAACATTGGGCTTTTTACTTCACAACAGGCCCATTTTGGTACACCTTCTGCAAAAACCTCTTTTATCTCAATTTTGAAGTTATTTCAGATTGTCCTTATGAACTCTGTGCAAACCACTGAATTTACAGGTCTATGCTTATCATATACTCTAATGATTTCCAGAGATTAATATCACTTTCTAATCCATACAGCAGATCATGGGACAAATTCACACCTTATGGTCTATGCATTAATGAGAATCACCTWTTGGTTTTAAGTTTTTGGAGTTAGAAACTTGCATTATATTAAAACCATTTCACAGCAAAGCCAGGTTGTAAAGAGATCCACTTAATGGACTCCACATGATACTTGTTATTTTGTATCTACATATTCTACCTGGCAAATGCTTGTCTATAATTTGTCCCCATGTCCTTAAACCAGTGAACCCATATTTTTCAAGCAAAAGAGTAAGAATCAAAAATTTTAACGTTGAGTTGACAGAATCCCAGGAAAGATCCCAGGACAGATCAACAGAGTGCCTTTCAGCACATGGAAAAACAGACAGGGGTGCCTATGGTAACACAAGTTGTATGTGCTTTGGCTCCTTAAATAAAACAAAAATTAACACACACATGGCAAAAGGAAAAAACCAAAAGCAAGAAACTCCAGATAAAAATATTTTGATAACTCTCAAACCTTTTTGCTAAAGTTTCAAACATCAAATCTGAAGTTTGAAGCCTTAATCAGACACCCAATTTAACATTTAGTATCCAGTACCTTCCTACCCTGCAATAAATTAGCATTTGCATCCTTTTGAATAACTCTTATTAAATAATGTCCTGACATTATTTAATGAAGATTAAATAATGTTGTTATGAAGATTTTACGTGTACCTAGTTTATTTTGATCTTGTTTTGTCTTCCAGAAAAGATTTTGCTATATTTATCAGGCTGGCCATGAACTCTGGGCTCAAGCAGTCCTCCTGCCTCAGCCTCCTAAGTACCTGGTTACCACAGGCACACTTCAGTGCCAGGCCATGTGCCTACTCAGTGAACACAACTTTAGGAATATGAATTTGGGATGGGGCTTGGATCATGAAGAAGACATGGTATTACCTAAAGAGCAGAAGGATAATATGGTTGTTCGTAGGAAGGTGAAGCAGAGCTGAAATTCTCTGTGGCAACAAAGCTATACTTTGGAGAGTGAGAAGGAGAGACAGACACACTGTGTCCACAAAGAGGGGAGGCATTGAAATGCAGGAATGGAAAGTCCCACTTTTTATATCAGGCAGTAAGAAAGTAGCTTACCTGAGCAATGRTACCAATTTCCTCTGGTGTTTCCACTTCCTACTCTTTTAAAGGAATATTTTCTAAGGTTATTTTGCCCTCTATTCTTCTACTCCTTCTCTTAGAATTCTCATCTATTTTCATGGACTTAATCATGATTTTTTGCTTTTATATCTGATTTTCCATATCTGACCTCTCATTCAAATTCAATTCCTATTTCTTCAGATGTAGATAAAGTTTTATTCAGATTATTTCACTTTTACTGCAGATCTAACAGTGATTAAAATAAAACAAAAA